GTTCCACTACCCACCCACCCCCCACCCCCGCAAGGAGCCTGTCACTAGCTAAGAAACTTCAACATGTTTACCAATTAATTAGATAGTTATTTGGTAAGCAAATTCATATAACCAGCAAAGGATGTCTGCTTCTTCTATATGATAACAGTATTTTATTCTGAACAAAGGACTGAAGACAGGGAGTAGGTGAATTGGTTTCGTGGTGCTGTTAAGTATTTTAACAGCCGTGTGTGACAGATGAAAATAGATGTGACAGAGTGAAACACACCTGTCTAGGGGCGGCAACCCACAGTCCGAGAAGAGGGTATTCCCTGCAAGATCCTGGCTTGCCTGTGATGGGTGATGAGGCTTTGAGAGAGGTGTTATACAGGGCGATTTTTGGTGCCTTACTTTATCTTAATTTTTGCCAATGTGAAAATTAAGGATAAATCAGAGTTACAGCAGGGATTTAACTAACAGGAAATCAAAACACAGGGTGGATCCATATGGTTTGGAAACTGTTACCTTTGAACTGTTGCGTTCAACTTTTGATTCGACATCTCTATTTGTCCTTTATTTTTGATGCCCAATTGCTTTTGGAGTTGGCATTTTCAGATAGGGATGAAGGGAACAATGGAGAGCTGTGAGAAATCAACACCGAGCTGCTCGAGCTTTTCTATGGCAACGGTCTGTTGCTGGGGTTTGGGTTTTCTGCGTTTTGGGTTGTTTTGTTTTGTTTTCTTGTCTAATGACGTTCATGAACCAGTGGCATGCATTCTCCTTTAACCTGTTTTGCATCATTTCACTCGTTTAGATTATAAAAGCATGTGGTTTTTTATATATGACTTTTGCTGTTGATTAAGAAGCACAATGTTAATAAATGATGTGGTGATCAATAAGGTTTATCTTAAAGAATGTAAAGAGTTTTAGTTTGGGGAAAGTTATTTTGGAGAAAGGGGACCTGGTCTGTAACCGTTACTATGTGTTTGGTCAGCATTTTTCTCAATAAGGTCTTTAACTGGTACGTTTGGAAGAGTGTTCAGAGCAGCCCTCTGACTAGCCTTCCCTCCACTCCCACTAACTCCTTCTGCTAAACTACATTTCAGTTTCCAGGGTTACTAATTGACTGGGGCTTCTTTAAACAATACTTCACCAGAACCAAATACCATACAAAGGAAGGAAGGAAGTCATTCCAGTTTCTCCAAGATAAAGCTTTTTTTATTATTGCTATTAATATTAAATATAGGTCTCATTCATACAGTGTATGAGTAGGATCATTTGGACAGTTGTCCACAAGGACCAATTTTTAAAACATGTTCTTGTGTTATAGCTAAATAGTCTAGTAATGTTTTGTCCTTTATTTTCAATATTTGATAAACATTTGATGTTGAAAACTTAGGTAATAGATGCTTGTGTATGAATGTGTTGTAATAAAGTGAGGTTTTCTTGATATATATTTATTAAAATGATCAAAATTCATTAAGGTTTTTTATCTTAATGGCAATTGGCTACGTTTCTCTTTTCCATTATTTTCTTTCCTTTAAAACACTCACGATGTCCAGGAAACTTTAGTAGACAGTGGCCACTCAGAGGTTTTAAAATAAAAGAGTACTTTATGAGGTTGGTCAGTCTGACAGGTGTTTTAGAATGGTCCTAGTTTGCACATTTAAATCTCTGTTAATTAAGAAGCACAATTTTAATATATATTTTTTATTTTATTTAACTTATTTATTTACTTAAATTTGACCAAAGAGGGACAGAGTGAGAGAGAGAGAGGGAACGCAAGAAAGCAAGCCACCAGGTCTGGGACTTGAACCAGGGTTAGCCATGTGGGAGTCCAGCACCTATAACTACCATGCCACCTACTTGCCCCAAGAAGCATAATTTTAATAAATAACATGGTGATTGGGCCAGTAGGTGGTATGAAGATTTAGGCAGCTGGATCCCACTTGAATGACTTCGTGGTTTAAGTTCTAGACACCAGGTGCACATGTATGTGTGCCCAAAATTCGTAGAGGTGAATGGAGAAGAGATTGAGCTGTGGGCATCCTCCCTGAGGGGTGATTTCTCACTTTCTCTCCTCCTATCTCACTCTCTGACTCTCCCGGCAACTGTGTGCACTCTAGAGCAAACTAAACAATAATACTAATAAGGTGATCAACAGAGTTACATCATAAAGAATGCAAAGGTTTTCATTTCTGGAAAGTTTCTGAAAAAAGTTGCACCACATGAAGGCATAAATACCTAATTAGCTGATTTCTTTTGTGAAAAATCAAGTTGTTAAGATGACCCATTTGTGAATGCCCACAGCAGCTACAGATTATTTCTAGTAATATTCCATACAATTGTGTATTAACATTATTCTTAGAAGTTAATATTTATTTGATAAACGGGGAAAGTTAGCTGAAAACAAATTGATGTGCCAAATGTAGCATTCTGAAGATTTAAATATGAAAGAAAAGACATCCTTTTACTTTTTAAAGCTCCCCAACATTACCGGATAATGTTTTGGTGTCCAAAAGCTAATAGATGATGGAGTTGGTGAATTTCAACAGATTTCACCTGGGCTATGGGCTTGTCCATCTGTTCAGTGGAACCCACTAGAGCTGCTTCTTTGCAGGCTGAGTGGTGTCTACCCAGCAGCACGGAAACCTTATTTTTAGGGCCACCAGGTGGCATAGAGGCTAAGGCACTGGATCCCACATGGCTGACTGCATGGTTCCAGTCCCGAATCCAGTGACTTGAAAATCACCTGGACATGTATGTGTGCATGCCCAAAATCCTGAGAGGAGAACAGAAGAGCAGGAATTGTGGCATAGTCATCAACCTTGTTTGCTGATTTCTCACTTTCCCTCTCTTCCTCTCACTCTCTCTGTCTCTCTCTGGTGAGTACATGTGCCTTATAGCAAAAACTAAAAAAAAAGTTAATTTGAGTCTTCAAGCTTTTGTTTTTCTAGAACATTTTCAGCAAACTAAAAGGAATTATTTTTCTTCACCAAAAAATAATCCCTAAACACCCATCTAAATTACAAAAATGTTCTCGTTAGCAAGTGACAACAGCAGGGTCTCCTACGTACCCAAAATCGTTGATGTGCCGGAATCGTTAGCTATAGCTATGTACTCATGAGATAATTAGATTTTTCTAGAGTGGCCAGGGTACCCTGTCATGGTAAGTTAAATCTATTAACTGAATTCTGCTTTGTCTTGTTTATTTAAACAGAGTGAAAGAAAGAGACAGGCAGTATCCCTACTAGGATTTTGAAGCCCCAGTCAGCCCACCCCACCCCACCCCCGTCTTATCCAGCACCAGATCATGGACACACACGTGCCCAGTGTACTCTGTAAGGCCTCCAGACGCCAACCTGCAACCTCATCATATGGGTCGTTCTCACAGAGCATCCTGTTTCGCCACTGCGCCACTTTCTGGCCCTAGTTCTGTCATTTTATCTTGAGAGAGTTGGAGCTAAGGCACCTCCACCCACACTGCTATCCACCCACCTGGAAGGAGCACCTTCTCTCATTCCTGTGCTCTTCTTTCAGCAACACCTGATGGGACTTGACTTTTCAAAGCTAAATTAGGGGAAATCTTTACTTAAGAAAGTGACACTGCTCCCTAAGAGTGCCTTTAATTGCTACTCCCCTGGGCACCTGGATGCATGTCATTAACCAAATAATTAACCTTTGTTTCCAGTCTTTCCATCTTGTAGAAGGTGGTCTGGCAGAGGTTTTTGCTTTTTTTTAATTTATTATTATTATTGTTTTCTTTTTGATTGCCAGAGGGTTAGTCATGCCTACTAGGATTTTGAAGCCCCAGTCAGCCCACCCCACCCCACCCCCGTCTTATCCAGCACCAGATCATGGACACACACGTGCCCAGTGTACTCTGTAAGGCCTCCAGACGCCAACCTGCAACCTCATCATATGGGTCGTTCTCACAGAGCATCCTGTTTCGCCACTGCGCCACTTTCTGGCCCTAGTTCTGTCATTTTATCTTGAGAGAGTTGGAGCTAAGGCACCTCCACCCACACTGCTATCCACCCACCTGGAAGGAGCACCTTCTCTCATTCCTGTGCTCTTCTTTCAGCAACACCTGATGGGACTTGACTTTTCAAAGCTAAATTAGGGGAAATCTTTACTTAAGAAAGTGACACTGCTCCCTAAGAGTGCCTTTAATTGCTACTCCCCTGGGCACCTGGATGCATGTCATTAACCAAATAATTAACCTTTGTTTCCAGTCTTTCCATCTTGTAGAAGGTGGTCTGGCAGAGGTTTTTGCTTTTTTAAATTTATTATTATTATTGTTTTCTTTTTGATTGCCAGAGGGTTAGTCATGCCCCACCCCTTCTCTTCGATTTCTCTATCCTGTCAGAACTTTGAGCACACAGGCCCACACTTCCTGGTGTCCTTTTCAAGTCAGCAGGGGCAGTATTCACATTGCATGAAGGGCAGATGTGGGATCCCAACTCATAACCACTTGAGTTGGGGCTGGCCCCTGGTATCATGTGCTTCTTCTTTTAAAACCCTATTATTCCATGTTTTACCTTAGGGTTCTAGGGACTGAATTGCAAAGACAGGACATAGGAGGAAGGCAGAAAAATTGAAAAACAACGGAAACCACTATTTGACAACCAGTCAATGGTTAGGGTAGAGCCCCTTTGGCATGATTTTGGTTTTTTGGTTTTGTTCTGCTTTGCTGTAGGGCACATGCACTCACCAGAG